ATTTAGTGGTTACTTCTTAGGCATACGGCTCAGATAACAACATATCTCATACACACTCTGGAAGTCACACATTTTTATGCAGCTTGGTCAACCTCTGAGCGCATAGCGGTTTCTTTGTGGTTGGTAATTAACACACTGAATGATCATAGCACAATTGACCTGTACGATTCCAACGTGACAAAACTTCATCGCATGCATGCTTTATCAAAAACTGCACAACCAACCTTTTTTGTCATTATCAGTAATGACAATATTACGTATAATGCTCACCATATACTTAACTTACCATAATTATAACCTCTCTGGTAAAGAACAACTGGTTCACAAAAACTCATCGTAATACACAGAGTAAGAACAGTAAATTAATGAAAACATTATCAATAAACGATTAATTTGAGAAAAAAGAACCAACAAAAGGAATCATTTCTCCAGTGGTCGTAAGTTACGTGTAAGGTATATCAGTTAACGGGCTAAATCAATTGCTATTCCGGCAGTAAAAATGGAGGAATGGTCTATTTTGAAATTGAAATGTTACGTTTACCAGAAATTAACTATTATCTTAACCGTTTCTGCTACGTAGTTGAATGATCAACACCATTCAATCCGAAACAAGATTACGGCAGGTGTACGACACTGACATTATGGAGTTAATGGTTGTTCATTGTGGTCAACTACTGGCACAATTTCAGGGTAAGTAAGCAGTAGATGAAGAAATACTCATTACTATGCTATAGGGTCAGCCAAGTCATCCGACCGGTTGGTCACTAAATTTCGAACAGTTCACTGGTCCTCGTCAAAATGAAAAATAATCAACGTGTGGACTGGTCCATGCCGGAGAGGTCACACTCCGTTCATTGTGCTTACTCTTAATGATGTATTATGTAATAACGTCGTTTGTGTCGTACGGTCATCAAAGCAACCATAGTACCTAAATACTACGAAAGGGTGGTCCATTTTAGATTTAAACTGTGAGGTGTGATTTCGACGTTAGCTGGCTGGTCACACCGCCCACTTCTAGCTCGATTAGGCATCCAATCGTTCGACATAGATCATCTACACTGATGATCTTCGATACAGTGTCAATCCTTAAGATGAAATGGATTTATGAGGCCATTTATTCAAGAGTCCTGACAAATAAGCCGAATATTATGATCATCAAGCGGCCTGCTTGAGTATCCTGACTATCTGTTTCTACCATCTAAATGTTTTAACAAATTATGTTTTGTATTTTGTTTTAACCTATCATTATGTCTATGATCGCATAACTTATTCAAGTGCGTTTACGACCCATTGCTTTACAAGACACAAAAAAGTACAACCGGAGACATCGTATGACTGGCAGTACACATTGAAAAGAATGAACACTAATCAGATTTCGACTGCTGCCGATCACCAGTTTGTAAGGTGAACTATCTTCAACAGTTACCGAGTCTAAACAAATATAGCAACTGTAATGTAGCCACAATTCACGAATCCTGGTTAACTGATTTACAGGACGATTGCTTAGTATCACTATGCGATTTCAATATCCATAGTCAGGATCGGTCAAGCAAGAAAAGGAGGTGTGACGGCAGTATAGCCACGTTTGTAAACGTGAACTGGTGTTGATCTACTTTTGAGTGTTTCAAGTTTTCAAATGACTTTATCGATTGTTTGACTTTAAGATGCCGTACAAAACAATTGAATAAATACGAATATGATTATGTTACCAATATATACATGACTTCAAGCTGAATGTCATCTGTACTATATGTTTTCTCTGATAAATTCATTAAATTTTGTGTTACTGCCTTTAATGGTCACTTTCAGTTGGATGTGGTGACTTTAATTAAAATGACTGTACTTTTCCTTGATCACTAGGTCATCAAAATGTAATAGATTCTTTCACTAGTTTGAATGTCCATTTAGACGCTGTTTTTATAAATTATGCCGAAATATATGTGACTCGTGGATTATGAAGACGTCAAAATATGGGGTGAAACATGGGATATATATTGGACATCTAGAATGCGGCTGGACGATCTAGACTCCATAGATGATCCGGCTCTTCTATAGCACACACAAAAACAAATGCAGGAAGAGAGTACTAGTGTGGCAGCAGCCTTATCAGCAGTAGGTCGTAACATACACAAAGGGAAAAGCAAGATTCTCCGATACAACAAAACGTGTACCAACTAAGTCACACTTGGCGGAGAAGTCTGGGAGGATTTAATGACCTTTATATATCTGGATTTCATCATTGATGAACACGCTGGATATGATGCAGGTGTGGAGGCACGGATCGGCAAATCAAGAACAACATATTTACAACTGAAGAACATCTACAACTCAAAACAAATGTCAACCAACATCAAGGTCAGAATTTTCAATACAAATGTCAAGGTTGTTCTACTGTATGGAGAACTACGAAAGCCATCATCCAGAAGATACAAGTGTGTATTAACAGTTGTCTACGGAAAATACCTCAGATCCGTTGGCCAGACACTATCAGCAACAACCACTGTGAAAGAGAACAAACCAGATTCCAGTGGAGGAAGAACTCAGGAGGAAGAGCTGGAAGTGGATAGGACACACATTGAGGAAAGCACTCAACTGCGTTACAAGGAGAAGTTGAGCAGGGCGTTTCCTCTCGTGACCTGGTGCGGATGCTTGACCGAGCGCCTTTAGCTAGGTGAGTCCATTAAAATTAATGTGGTCAGCATCATATGTCGAAGACTCACAAAGCTATTGATTTCGTGGATTTATTTATCACTACAGATTTCAAAACTTAACGTTCACTCAGAGGTTCCTATCTTAAACACACTAGTATGTGAAAACTATATAATGAACTTACCGGTAGTAAATACGTCAGAAACAATGGCGTGACGCAAATGTGTCCCGATTTTCACAGAAACTAATGTCCGAACATGTTTTTAGTCATTTAACTAATTCCAATGCTAAGGACCTGATGAGATCTCAAACGTCATTTTTAAGATGTGTGCTAAAACATTAATCAGTACCAGTTTGCTTGTAAATGCAAAAGAAGCACCTTAAATGCTGCTGTTCTCCTTGATCATAATATAGTGTTTAGCTTGGAAAAGGGTAGGAAGTATATTTGGGGCGCATCTCTGACTATACTTTTGCCTTTGACTTTATTCCAGGAAAAGTACTTGAAATGTTAATCAGCATCAACACTGACGGCTGGGTAACCACTTGGCTGTATACTTACCCCTATGGAAGAGAATGCAAATGCATCCCCACAATTTACGCGTAGACAACTTTGTGCAATCATCTCAGAGTTGCTCCAAAATCCGTTTAAAACGTACGAATGGCCACATATTGAGGTCAACAATGATGCCACACCACTTCTCCTCGAAAGGGACATAAGTCTCGTGAACCAAGTACCGAGAGGTTAACCAAGTGTGTGATAAGGCTAAAACATTAACCTCACAAGGACAGAATCTAACCTTTGGGATTATTCTCGTTGGACCACAGGAGAATAAGATATTAGTTGGTAATGGTATACAACATATTTTAGTTGCCCGTGGATATGACTCCTATTTAGATCGTATGGATGTTTGCTATCGCCTATTCTCGTATATCATCGTCGACTTTAATCACGTTAGTCAATAACGGAATTAAATAAGTCAAATAACGAGAATGGGATTTTGAATACGCATACTTTGTATATATGGTGAATGGAATAGCAGGAAGAGAAGCGCTGCAGGGTGGAGATGGCTGGTAAGCCAACTCATTTTTAGTCAGGCGTTAACCAATATTTATAGGCGGACAAAAATAAGCTACAGACATGTGATGAATGGGATGGGAAATGTACACACATATGCGCTCATATAAAAACAATGAAGACTGGTAAGTGAATAACTAACAAGGTCAGCATATGACTCAAGTAGAATGAATAGATTGGCCTGTCCGAAAGCCAGAATAAGATATATGGGCTTAAAATAATAACGGACACTACAATATTAAGTGCACCTAATCACCTCAAAGCGTGCATATGACTAAAACATCAACACCAAACTCCTCGAGATAACCCAAATCAGAGAAAGAACAGCCAGGTACGCTCTTACTTTTCTTATTACGAGTTGATCTTAATTGTAACGCTCTCCAAGACCACATTATCATAGCCCTAAACACGTACTCACCCATGGATTACTATCTCCCTCTTGGACCATTTGTATTTGATGAATGTCTTATATATCACTACAGTTTTAAGTATTCCACAACCAGTATCTACTTTTCATCTCTCATATTATCATCTAAGTTACCCCCAAACTTCTTCTACTCCATCTCCTTATATATTGTCAATCAATTAAGTATTTGACCCTGAAACAATCATCTAGTACTTGGATTATCACTTTATTATATTCTTATTGCAACCAACCGACACCCTGCCTAGTAATGTGATAGCTGCTGGTATTCAGGAACCCTTCTGCCCCAATACAAACACACTCAATCAAACTAGGTCAACAAATCCATAGACAATTACTACATTCACTAGAAACAGTGCAGTCGAGCGACTGGACTATTATCCATTGAACATAACCAGATACATGTAACTCCACTGAAACAACAAGATATAAACACATGCTCATGATAAAGATATGTAACGTGGCGTCGAGTCGCGGTTGACTATGATAACCACTACGGTAAAACTACGTTCCAGTTAACCGATAAGGTCTACCGTAGACCAAATATCAGAAAGCAGTTGATGGCTGTAGTCGAGATGTATTTGTTGGCGATCTCGTGGTATCGAAAGAATACCGATATCGTGCCAGGTTATAAGTGTGGTTATTGAGCACAACCGAATTCGTGCAAGGTCACAACCAACAGAAAAAGTATGTCTTTAGTACAGTTAAACGATCAAGTACAGTAAAACAATCTCTGGTACAATTGGTTATAATAATAACTGTTTCCATTACACCAATCGCGTTCTGTTGATAAAAGTAAGTCACTAAAGATATTTATGTGTTGTAGAAGATATTGTATATTGAAGACGAACTTTCGGATGGTGCGCTACTAACTAGGCACTGACTTGTGTAACCATAATTCTTAGTAGATTATGAGTCATTGTTTTGCTAAATCGAGAATATCAATATACTTATTTGTAGTAACAAATAGTGTGTTGTTCCTGGAGGGAAAAAAGTGATCAAGAAAACTTTAAAATTTTATGGTTTAGTTATGTTCATGTAATAACCAGCTCTATTATGCGGTTTGAATATGTAACATATAAGCTATCTGCTTCTGGTTCCGATTCCAAGATTGTTTTAACCTTAGGTTTGTGTTATTGATGATTGTTGTCTCTTGCTTAAGTGGTTAAAGTACATTGTATGGGCTTTCATTGTTTGGTCTTTTCTTATGTTCTTTTTTCCAGCCCTTCTCACTCATACTAATCTGCATGTTCGTGTAGAACCGGAGTTACCTTCTGGATAGACGCAAGCTGCTACGGAATGTAAGTTAATTAGTATGGCTTTACTATGCTCTGCGTTATAGAATTTAGGGATTCTACAGTTTTATACGTGAATTCTCACTACAGCTGGAACAACATCCAATATAGTCTTGTCGAACTGATATAACACCACTGGCTTCTTCAGGTTCTTGTGGTACTAAAGAACAGTCCCAACTGGGACACCTAGGTGTTCGATAGCATTCTGTAAGAGGATTCTAGCCACTCAAATGTATTAATCATGGTAGACTGAATAGTCCTTCGGCGGCTTACACATTTTAAGTATAAGTCACTAAATTTGTCCTAGAGCGATGAAGCTGCTGGGAATAGTACCTATTACATCACCAGGTCGTCGTCTAGTTGTTTGGATTTAAAAATAAAGTCGTAGTGAAGTTAAAAATAAATAATGCCAAGTAATTAAGTACACAAATATCTGAATATAACCAACTAGACGAATTTAATAAGCAAAATGATGGGATAAGGCATGTCAAATATAAGAGACCAGAATATATTGTGAGGTATGGTAAAGTTAGAACTAGCGAACACAATGATGTCGTGCCTAGTGTATATATGTATTCAACTGCCATTCCAGACGAAAGATAACCTACGACTGCGTACGTGGTTTGGAAAGTATTAACTTGTAGCTTGATAATAAGTTTAAGTAAGAAGTACTTTATCCAGGTGATCTGGACTGTGATCAGATCACCTCTCAGATTTCGGCGAGACTATAATTCATGGACGAACCAATCAGATATAATTTGACTATTCACGAATTTGGCGCAGAATTCGTTCATACATTTGGCTAAACAGAGTTTGGGCATTATAGCTGGTGTCAGTTCGTGATGAAAACCCTAAATCTAATTTTAAACCCTAACCATCAACTATAAATGAGAATTCTAACTGCTTTATAACCCTCATTTAGTCCTAATTAGTTGTTCATACAAGGTCACTTCAGTGTCGCTTAAAGGTCGTCCATAAATTATAGTCTCACCCCCATTTTGTTGCACGTCTCCGCACCTGTTCTAAGGGGATGTTCGTATCCTCTTTCAGACGACTGGAAGGTCTACGGTTACGGACTACTACACAAAATCACACTCATGTATCACTCTTAAAGTTGTGATTTATCTTCAGCGTTTAATTTGTCGTTATAAGTTTATGTTTATCTTAGCTTCATTGTTTTCGACTTGGAGGCTCATTCAAGACGTTTCGGAAACTAATACAAAAGCAAATGATCTGTCAGTCAAATTTGACGTAGAGCTTTAAAGATGTGAACATTTAAATCAAATTCCTAAGGAGGATCCAAGGATGCTCTCTTGACTTCTTAGATTATTCGTATCCAAGTCTTCGAAGTTTGTCTTTCATTTTTACTATTGATCTAGTACAGGTTTCATTTGAGTAGTGGACATACATCTTTTGTAGTGTGTTTTGTCTTTACTCCAATTACCACTCACGTGTCTATTTGAGTTCAATTCGAAAAAACCAAATGGAATAAATAAAGACTAGTCAACGGACCATAAGTCTGTTAATATAGCAGCGCTAATTTAGTGGTCGAAAGTAAGTCCTGTGGTTCGCAAACTCGACTTAGTTTTAGCATGTACATGCTTTAGAAATCCGTGGCTCAGCCGCTATTCAGGCGGAAGGACAATGGTTAGGAGTCCTTACTTTGCTCATTATTACTCTTCGTTTGTAGTTTCTTACTTATCGTGGGAGTTATGTTATCGTTCTCCCTTTTTCAACTTCTCATGATATGTTTAGACATTCGCAGCCTATTATTAATTCGAGAATGAGTAGCGATGGGTTCCTAATCTAGTTTTAGCAGTAGTCAGTTGCAAACTAAGTAGCTTTAAAATAGATTTCCAGGTTTTAACAGTGAGTAAAACAATCCCAATATTTCATAGGGTTTGTTTGTTTGTCCAAGATGATAACTAACCAATATATTTCATCCCAGCTTTAGATTTTCTCACTAGTTGACTTCTAATTTCTCACCCTATAGGCTGTCCAGCGAAAGGCTACGCCGGGCTAGAATGTCAATATACCATTTTTTGGTCGAGTATTTACTTATTGTTTTCTCATGGTTTTCCAAATTTTAAAATACATAGTTCTCATGTCCGGGAACATAAAAATACGCCTTAAGTTTATAAACAACATTCTTGATAAATTATACAACCTAAAATACACATTTCATTGACATAGAGAAAGCATAAAAATATTTTTCTTATAAACTTCCCCCCTGTCCGACTTGTATTGTTGAAATATTGACTTTTATTAGCACATTAATAAACAAAAAACGATTCACCAGGTTGTTTCTTTTATCAGCCTCATTTGGAGAATTTTATCATGTGTAGTGGGTTTGCAACCCATAAAACGTTTGGAAAGGTATAAAGAGCCCTGTCGATATTTCTCGATTATCACTACTTAAGACTAATATCACCCGTATGCCGAGGGTCGATTGTACTGTTCAGCAGTTCGCCTTTCATACTATTTGACTGAAGTCTAGCAATTCAGTATGGGGGTCTAAAAAATACAGGTATTTAATTGTAATTGTTTTGAAAACACAACTCATGTGCAGTGAAAGCACAGAGCTTGCAATGTCGATGTTAGAATTATCAATGTGATATTCACGGAGGTAACTGTAAAGTTCGTTGTACATATCGATTATCGACTACTTCCAACCACCACCTTACATATAAGCTTGACGTCTGTTCTTATCATTACATAAATAGACGGGAATAGTTCTATTAAAAGCTGCACTTCACTTAAAGCAAAACAAGTGTTACCAATCTTTGTTCAATGACCACAGGTACAGGAGTAAAAATCAACCACTGGTGAAGCGGCATAGACACAATTACCCCACAAGCCATCAACGCTATGCTCGACTGTAGTTTTTCACCTGTCCATCCGTACCTTTTTTGATGTGTTCGAAAGGTTTTGCAATCTTCCTGATTTCTTTATACTGTTGAAACGCAAACTCATCTAAGCTAACTCACTGTTGGAAACAGTTGTGCTTCTGTTTACCTGTAGGACTGAAGGCGTTTTGTAATCCTTTTTTCAAAGATGACTAAACAGCAACTTAAAAACATATATCTGAGTTATCAACCCGCATTGACTAGGTTGGTATGATTTTGCTCATCTACATTTGTGGTTTGATTCGGTCCACCATGATATTTAGTATGAAATCTACAATAATTTAAGAATCTACTTCTAAATTAAGCACGATGTATATTTCAGGCCCATCATCGTTTGATGGTTAAGGAGGCTAGTAATATGGACTTAAACGATCTAGAATTGCATAAAATGTTGAAGACGCCGAGATCTACTAAGTTATTTGAACAAATTTGTTCTAATCTATTTGGTCGTTTTGCTTACTGTAATAGGTTCAGGGAATCCTAAATTATCAATACTAGTGAGTGGTATATCTTCAAATAATTACTGATGATTTTGGTAATGGCCGACACAAAAAACATGGATTCAACATCTGATCTTCCATTTTGCTTATATTTCAATACAAGTACAACCTGGTAGCAAATTTCCATGGCACCGATATCACCACTTCAATAAAAATCTCGTCAATAACTTATCAGCTATCAAAATTGTTGTTAAACATAATCAACCATATTTTTAATTTCAAGGGGAAATCCTCACATATAAGTGTATTGCTACAATACTTTAAATGTATTATTTATGAATCCTGTGTTTTTCTGCTCATTAACGACATCTTAACGAGTGTTTGATGTATTTTCCATAGGATAATTATTGTTGTTGGATTTTATATAAATGGATCTTATAATGTATTGTTTCTGTAGCTTTGAAATGGCGTACAGAGAAGTTCTCCATTCTTCTTCTGAAGATGAATCTAGCAGCAATGATGACATTTGTTGGAAACGAAGAAAATCAGATATTCGAGCCTCACCAATGAAAGAGGATTTCAGTGTAAATATCCCAAAGAAACCATATAGAAAAAATCGCAACTGTGTTTGGGTAAATGTTATCAACGAATACAAATTGGATGATGCTTTGTCAGTAGCTCATGTTCATGAGGTAAATCAAAACAACATAATCTAGCTTTGCTGTAGAAATGTGACTCTAGCAGGGGTGTTGAAAGCTATTTGGTTAATACAGATACTGATGATGAACGGAAGACTATTGAAGTATGCACGCAACCAGAGTTGTCTACTAGGTTTGAAAGTTCACACGTAAATTTATATTTTTCAGAATATTAAAAAAATCAGATCGCTCTATCAAGCAACGGCTTGGACCACTTCTATGGGACCAGGAAGTATCTAGATCACATATTGATGTTACTTTCGACAGTCCACCCGATCTTGTCGCTGAAACTATCACTAATCTACTAAAAGAACCAAACGAGGATTTAATAAGTATGTTTTCATTTACACTATAACTGATATTGTACAGAGCGAACTGTTGATATTTTGGGTGTTCAGCGAGCTCTCGAATTTTACTACCTTACGGAAGATATCGAGAACAATGGTGGTCTCTACTTAATGGTAGGTTTCCACATAATAGCGCGTTTCTTCACCTCACTACATTTTAATTGTCACACCATATATAAACCTATATTACGTTTATATAATGTAAATTATCCTGTTTTTATTAGTATATTCAATTATGGTATTTGGTAGGATATTATTCTCCCCCGTACTATTTAAATTTTAGTGAACGTAGATTATCAATGGACCGTGATGAAACAATCTGTCCAGGTTTACTTGAGATATGAGGATTGTTTAGCTGAATAGTTCTTCCAAAACTTACACATTTGTCTCGTCCTTAAAAAAGAAACTTATATGTTATGGTTTTGTTATAAATTCGTAACATATTTTTTGGTTCTTTGCTGAGACTCAGTTGGCAGATGAACTCCAACTGACCATTGTGTGCATAGGACCTCTGACCGTTTTGCATAAGATATGTCTTTAAAATTAAGCAATTATCAAGCATTTGTTGTATGTCACGTTTTCTTTCAGTCCAATGACAAAAAACAATGATCAGTAATTCTTACTTTTTCTGACACTACACAATTTGTGACAAACTTGCTAAACGAAATAAACACTACCTAATGCTTTCAATCAATAATTATTACATTTAGTATTTGTTTGTAATTCAATACAAAGGTTAAAGAAATCTCTTTGGAACAGAACTAGGAAGGCAACTTGTCATCATCTCATTTTATTTCGGGTCTTCAACTAAATGTTAGTTTGCAGTAAAATTTCCCAGAATACCTATATACGTAGTTAACCTTTCTTCAGCAAAGCGTTCTTTTAGCTGATATTTCTAACATCTATCATTTTTCTGACCATATAACTCATGAATAACCGACACCTAACTACTTTAAAGTTAATGAAATTCTATCCACTTATTTCGCATTGAATCCTGAAAGTCTTACATTTGTTCAGTTATTTGATATCATCAGAAGCATCTAGTCAGGTTGAATTAATCATTGTTTTGCAAACCCCACTCTTAGTTACGTATTAGTTGCAGTCTAATCACCTTAGATACTTGTAACCAGTACCAACCATCAATATATATAGATCCATGAAAGTAAGACCATTTATTTATTTAAACACAAACATTGGTACAAAGAGGCACCAAAAAGATATGCGCCACACAAATTCAAATTTTGTGAGGGTTGGAATACTGCCTGGGCGCCCAAACCTAAGTAGATGGTTTTCTTAGGAGGCCGCACCCGAAGCCTTTGACTTAGAGGTCTAATCCACAAGGCGTTGGAGAAACGTAGGGAGATACAGTCCCATGGTAGTTGGCGACCAACAACAGGTTCATACGCCATTTGTTTCCTTAGGATCCTGTGGCCCAGTTACACCACTGGTTTGGAATCAGAGTTTTTGAACTCCCCTAGATGGATCTCCTGTATCCATCAACTCGCTTAAACCGCCGAACATTCGCTTTTCGTCCACTCAATTTCGTAAACAACATCCCCGCCACGAGAAGGTAGTGAGTAGGACTCTCCTGGCAGTGGTTGTATCCACGTATGTATGTGAAAGCATTTCGAGAGGCAGAGCTGACTCTCCTCACTCTCAGCCGTACCTGCTTCGGTTCAGGCACCCGGGCAGTATCCTAGCCCTCACACAGATCGAATGATTTTTGTGGCGCATATCTATTTGGTGCATCCTTGTACCTATCTTTATGTGTTTAAATAAAATGAAATAAATAATCAGATCATGTATTCATATGAGTCTAATTGATAGCTAGTAGTTAATAACGAATAAATTCATCTGTGGTCATGCACGATCCACACTAACCATCATAGCAGTTTATAAAATTTCCTGATTTTTGAAACTTTTTTTTTCAAATTTGTATATCTACTGAAAGCTGTCATTATACAAAACGTTACGTAGTTGAGAATACAATCATTCAAATCGCTGGAAACGATTGTCTTCAGTTTATTTTGGATTTAGACATATTTTCTCTTGTTTTTTTATTGACTGGTGCGAATGTCAGAGTGATTGAGACAAAAACTAACACTTAGAATCTTTTCAAGTTCTTGACGCTCGTCGATTTATTCTGACAATAGGAATATAGGAATGTATGCAAATTCTCTTCTCCAGAGCTCCATGAAGTTCTCGCTAAAACCACGAAACGTGATGTTCGAAATGCTCTGCTAATATAAAAGCAGCTGGTGTATTTTGTAACCTTCAGGTATTGAAACTCATCCAAACCACTTGCCCAAAGTTTCGTATAGGTCAGATTATTTATGAGGTCGACGGGATCTTATGTAGCAATCTTTAAAGCCACGCGGTTGCTGATTGGAGCACTTCAAAAGATAGTTTAACTGTAATATACTACCTAAAAATCTTCACCCAGATTTTCCATTAACTATCAAATAATATAACTTACTAAGGATACAGAGGATGCTTTAGCTACTAAGATGTTACAATTTACCCAGTTTCATGTCTCTTAACTCTTGACCATATCAAAAGAATAAAATCCAAATTCTATACATTCCATAATCAGTTGCATAATGACCTAAAAACTAATTTTTCACTTTTAGACTCTATATTTATTCTTTCATAGCTTACTCTATCTTTGTTTTTCAATCGATTTCGTTAGGATGGGTCTCGAAGACGATCACCTGGTGGTGTTTATCTTAATCTAATCAAACATTCCTATTCAGTAAAAAAAGAAGAAAAGAAGTTGATCTTTCTAATTGACAGACAAATGAAGGATAAGTTGAAAAGGTATTTAAAATAAAAGTATTTAATCCGTGTGATTCAATGTTCACTTAAGTTTAAGATATTCTTCGAGTCTATAACAGGTATTTTATAAAGCTGGAGATTTGTTGAAGTATATTCATCTCACAATTTTGAGTGAAAATCATCTGATTTTCAATATGTTTTACAACAATTAAATCTATAATAGTTCCCTAAAACTCAGGTAACCTGGCTTTAGATAGTAGAAAATTTATCAATTCATCAAACATTCTACAGTTATAAAATATGTATTTTTGACATTAATCGGGAGCTCAAAGTGAAGTTGTGCTGCTGGGTATGTTTGCATGAATTGGTTTTGACATGACTGCAGAAACAATATCTCTTTTAGAAGGAAAGATGAGTGAGACTATAATTCATGGACGACCTTCGAGCAATGCTGAAGTGACCCTGAGAATGGACACCTACTTATTAGGACTAAATGAGGGTTATAAACCAGTTAGAATCACGATTTATGGTTGATGGTTAGGCTTAAAATTTAGATTTATGGTTTTCATCACAAACTGACATCAGCTATAATGCTAAAACTCTATTTAGCTAAATTTGTGTGAATTTCACGCCACAATTCTGATTGGTTCGTCCATAAACTATAGTCTCGCCGAAAGATGTGGCCAGGGTCTACACTTAATACCACATTTTATTCGAGTCATAATGGAAAAGAGTACAGTAGAGAATCAATTAGCTTTCTATTTGCGTCTTCTAGCCAGACATTGATGTAGTGAAACCCCGACAACCCATAAGTCTTAATGTCTTGGCTGTTTTTCATTTGGTAAATAAAATATCACCGATCCTACAGGGAATATAGGCGGACTAATCAATAATCGTACTGGAGTAGAAAACTATCCCCATAAATAATGACTCGATCACACGAACCCTAGTGTATTTTGAGAACCTTTTCTTCTTGTTTTTATAAAAGTAAGGTGACAAAATCTCTTGACATCAGTTGTCATTATCGAGTGTCTGGTCGTACCAACAAACAAGAAGTTCTTCTAACAATCGTGGGGCTCTCTAACCGCAATGGGATTTATCTCTTCTGTTTTTTTCATCTCTGTCAGAACATTGTTCAATCCCTTCCGTTTCCTCAGCTCTTGATTTTCAGAACAGTCTATTTATTCTCCTGAAATTTTCCTATTAATTTCATAATCATACAGTTAGAGAAATCTTATTGTAGTTAGGGTGTTAGTTCTTGAGGTACGTGATTTGTTTTCTCTTTGTTTATTCTCTTTCATTGTGATTGTAATGGATGGCCCATTGTTCTATATTCGTTAATGGTTTAATTAGCTAACCATACAGCAAGTTAGTTGCCATATCATGTAGACACACTTCATGTTTTAAACATTTCACTCAAAAACAACTACCATAGTAATATTTTTTTGTCTTATGGGCTTTTTATGTTCAAAATTCTTATTAATCCTTTATTTAATTAACCTAGGGAAATATTACCGTTTCACGTACACTATATTTTAGTTTTCACGATAGGTTGATAGCCTGAGGATTTCGACTGACTTAACATTAAAAAATCCTTGAATTTCATCCTTTTAGATGATGATAATCAGTTGTCTTTTTGGGTTAATGTGTAATTCTGTATTTACTTATAAACTTAAAGAGTAAATACACGTGTTCGCTTCCTGTGAGTGACGAATTATTGTTTTATGTAGAGCTCGCAGGAATTCTCGTCGTGTAAGAAAATATGAAGAGTCAGACATTGTATGCGAACTTCCAAGCAATCCAGCGAAATCAGTCGAATCCGATTGTCCTTCTCCTTTAGATATTCACAGTTCTCAAGAACCAGTTATTTTGGAAGGTGAAATTTCACAACCTGCTTCTCCTGTAATTACAATGGATACAACGTGTGCAAGTCCGTGTGTAAAATCACCCGAAGATAATGAAAGTATGGAAGAAGGTGAATTGCCTCCTAGTGATGACGATATCTAAATCTTTGTATAAAATCCTTTCCCTCTGATGCTATTCCAGTTTTGAAATAAATAAATAATATACAGTTTTAAAATAAGTTAAAAATTCATGAATTTTTAAGCAGATATTTGCGTAGTCACGCTAGGAAGTGTTTTGGAGCGCGGAAATGTAAATTCCTAGAACTTCGAACAATATAACTTGCTCCTCAGGATCGAGGTAACTCATCTTTCGGCCTCAATGTCACCATAGGCGCATAGAAAATACTAATCGTAGTTCTCCGCTGTTGACAGATTTTATGAACTGTTATGCGTAATCTCTGAGTTAATATTTCGTTAGCCACATCCCCTCTGGATTGTCGGAGCATGAAGAGAGGTTTTTTATTCACCGTTTTCATTTCGTCTATTCACACCGTGCTTCAACTTCAAACGATGCACGTTGCCCTAAAACTGGCCACTTTCCGGATTATTCATTCGAATGCATAATTGTAGAATCTAGAGAGAACTTAACAAAATGAATATTCTTCGTTTAAATATTAGTATTTTAATTGAGAATTTATTATTTTTGTGGATATAGTCCTGACTTCAGTATTTCATATTTGTACTTAAGTCTTAATGAATTCCACAAGTTCACTTATCCTCTTCGGCTAGTAGAGTTCATAACGAATAATAACGGATTATTTTGTATCGACTAAATCATATTTGAGACTCAGATTAGCAACTAGTCAGTAGAAAACAATCAGGTTCATAGGCATCTATAGTGATATATAGTTTTAAGCACCATTGGTGTTCTCCTTCCTTCAGCTCAGAAAATAGGCGTAAGTTCCTAAAATGAAAGGACAATATTAAAGCACAGATCTAATACAACTCTGGTATGGTAGGATTCGGGACTTATCTTGATGGAAATTTCGTCCAACGATCCCCTCTATTTCGATACTTCAGTGGACATATGTTCAGAGAAGTTTGGGGCAAAAATTTAATTGACCCCTAGGTCAGTTTTGTAATTAAGTCTAGAACATAAAGTATTGTCAAGGGTATGTTTTATTGTTAACCACATTTTTCATTGTTAAACCCCAAGCACCAATATTCACCTTATTCAGTTCATCCTGTAATGTTTGTAAATCACTTCCGAATTCAATGAGTTCAAATTTATGAATAAGTTTCATGTCGTCAGCGCATAAACACGGCGTACATGCGAAGAAGCATTTACACTTAGTTTTGACACATAAAATGGACCAAAGACGGTTCTTCGTACAGCACGATTAGAGATAGGTCTAGGTGTAGATGTAACAAAATTAACTTTAGTTATGCTGTAATGACTCGAAAAATCGACCTAGACCAACCTAGTGGTTGACTTTTGAATGCATTTTTATCTCAAATTATAGTACGATCTCTAACTTCTCTTGATCACTGAGTCGAGTAATTTAATCAAAGTAATTTATTAAGCATAAAGTGGACGACATGCATTTTAGAAATTGTTGAGGTTGAAGTTTATGCAACTGAGCTTGTTCTACATAATGCAGTTAATATTGACACATGAGGCCCGATAAATATTCACACTGTTCCGGGACCACCCATTCGATGGTTCACAAATGAAATGTTGGTTGTCGTACTCCCGTTCATTGCGAAGTTAAGAATGGAAACTGAAGTCTGCACTTTTTGAAGGTTCTCACAGGGGTTAATGGGTTTTGTATTATTATGCGCTACTGAGCGCTGTGTGACATTAAGATATGTCGTTAATCACGTAGATCTAGATATATACAAAACAACCCCGCTCATTCTTATAGGTGCTATCACAACGAAAAACTTAATAGTTATACATTGAAAGATAGCTTTGAATTACAGGGACAAGTGTGAGGTTGCTTAAAAGTACTAGGTTTCTTAGATATGGTACCTTAATATGTACCGACTGGGCAATGATTTGCAGTTGTGTCAGGTGATATATTGATTTAGCTGGTTGCTATCAAGATAGGACATAACTTTTGTTGTTTGAACCATATTTGAGCGTCATTTAACATCTTATGGATTAGAATGGTTGGATTGTTTCGTAGTTTAAATGAAGTTTGACAGACTGACTCAGATAATGCTCTCCGCTTTAGAGGGTTACGTCTAAACTGAGTAGGCACTGATTCCGGAAGTTGCAGGAGCAAGTGTGCGATCAGATGTGACGAAGGGGTAAGGTTATGTGTCGGTGTGAAATAATTATACATTACTAAGCTAAAGATGTATTCAGTTAGTTGAGAAATATGACCCGGTGCAAGATGTTCTATGGCTGCTTTGAAACGCACCGCAAGTTCATTTTTTGATTCTGACAGGTTGTTTATCACCAGATGTAGACGGAATAGGCTTATTGAGCATTTTTCTTCACAGGAAAATTCTAACTTCAATAATAAGTGTATTTTTTGACTGCTACTATCTATAATGTAAATATCGCCATCTCGGGGGTTGAACTGGGAGGAGAAAGAACTGTCCAGTTGGACTGTCAGTTTCTCCCACAATCTTTGACAGTCATGTAGGACACCCAAAATGCCACAGGCTTTAAAGACGTTTATTTCTACCTGGTTGGGGGAAATATGTCCGGGGATCTTGTTGTTTATTTGCTTGTGAAGCGATATAAGTGCATCATAACTTCCGCTGATTTGCAGTGTGAGAAAGTCTCAATTTGCTATACTTTTTTCAGTTTGCATATCGTCAGACATAAAAAGGAAATGGGATATTGCCAATAGATTGGATGAGTTGCTCTTAAGCTTTATATAATTAATCTAGTTTTTTGTTGGTGAAGTAAGGAATATTTACTTTCTAAACCTGTCGTGTAGAACCATCTGGCGATTGTGGTTTAGAAGTACAGTGATCATTCATGGATGGAGAGTCACGCTTGCGAAAGCAGATTTTAAACCATATTTTAACTGGAAGTATACAGTAGTAGGATTTCGGTGTACTTCAATGACCAATCAGTACAGATGTGGGTTCTGACTATAGTATACTCCGTTTTCCAGATATAATGTTAAATAATATAACTATATCAATCGCCCTACTAGCGTCAAGATATTCAAGTTAAGAAAAATGATGATGAAGTGTAATGTTTAGACGTACCGTAAAGAAACTTCGTCCGTTTAGTGTGTAAAGGACCCATATTCGGGAGTAGTTTTTAGTAAAATTCTAAATTTTTGCATTAAAATTCACAGTAATCGCATAATTTTTTCCGTTTGTCGAGTAATGTTCACAAGATTAGGATTGGTATGAGATGGGTCAACAGCGCTTTTCAATGTGCTTAGGAGTAATAAATAGATGTGGAAGTATAAGTACAAAATCCCTCTCGCAATTTTGACTCTGCACATGACAATCAAACGAAATGAAGCGGGAAATATTATTTATACTTACGCGCTCGTTTCAAAAAGGCAGTGATTTTTGTACTTGTTGTGATTATACTTGCTTTTGGTACTAATTACACCAAAAGCATTCTTGGTCTCCTTTAACTAAATGTACTTTGGTTAAAGTTTGAAATTTTTTGCTAAATTTTGTTCTAGGTACCTGTTTTTACTCCTAGACTAACACTTGTGTTCACATTGTGATCATTGTGTGTTTTTAAAGCTTTTAAATCTAATTACAATAGTTGGTAAGACTCACAAATGTGGGCAACCAAATTGTTTGTTCCCCGTTGAGGAGGGAATGCAGTGTGATGACTGTAAAAAGTGGTGCCACAAAATGTGTACACGCCTAAGTCCGATGGCATACAAAAGATGCTCGAAGCCTAACTCACATTGGCTTTGTATGTTCTGCTGTACGGATAAAAAGGTACTAATTCAGGAGGTTATGGGCCTATTGGCTTTGGCCTGCAAGACAAACGATGACACATGCGCTGACAACAACGGCACTGACAGTGACGATTGTATCAGTGTAGTACCTGCTGTTACGCGACGCCTCAAACAACCGACTCTGACCGACGCAAAAGTGAGATCGCCGTTAACATTACCAAGGGGAGTAATACCATCTGGTACTGACATTGATAACAATGCACCTTTAGTAGAACCGACGAAGTGGATAAAACCATCACCGTTCCAAATAGTCCCAATGTCCTGAGGGATGAAAAATGGACTACGATACGTAGGAAACGAGACGAAAGGAAAAAAGCTGTAGGCAGTACACAGGTAGTTAGTAACTCGCTGATGGACTCTCATTGTGAGTCACATACTGCACTACCAAAATCTGATGGTAAGAGTGAAACCCATCCTGGCGTGACTGAGAAGAAAAATCAAATAGCAGCTAAAACTAATGACTGTCTACTTGATAAGTCCTTGGTGGACTCTCAGACCAATCCGCCAAAGCTGCAAGATAAAGCTTCGTCTAACACTGTTGTGAGTCACTCACAGGACTCTGTTACATTAAAAGCTAATCGTAAGATACCAGTAGTTAATATGCAGGATCTATCGTCACGGCCGAAAGCTGTTAGCACAATTTCAAAGGAAGCTAAACCCCTTCCTAGTTTAATTATTTGGAATCTAGAGGAGTCGAAAGATAACGATCCTGCTAGAAGACATGCACATGACCTACAGTTAGTGGAGTCTGTGGTAAGAAATGTGCTACCTGAAGAGGTTTCAGGGGTACATATTACAAAAGTAATACGACTCGGCAAATGGGTTGGAGGCGAGACCCAACCAAAACGAATCCTGAAGCTGGTTCTCGGGAGTTTCGAAGAAAGAGACATATTACTGAAAAACGCACCAAAAACTCGTGACTCAAACATCTGTATTCGACCAGATTGGCCGCTTGAGGATCGAATCAAGTGGAAGAATGCTCTTACGGAGTTGAGGACTCGCAAATTAAATGGCGAAAAGAACCTTACCTTTAAGGGTTTTCGGGTAGTCAGGTCTTGTAAGCCAATGCTTCCGAGGCCTGTATGGGTAGAACGATTGATTGCCAAAACACCTTAAGTGTGTGCTACACGAACGCTCGTAGTCTTAGAAATAAAACGTCCGAGCTAAGTCTGATGGTGGAAGAATTATGTCCCGATATAATCGTTGTTACAGAAACTTGGTTCACAATAGATATAGACTGTTCTCCTTTCATTGCAGGCTATATCTGTATTAGAAGTGATAGAGTTTCAAG